AGGATACGGTTACCAAAGGCAGCAAGCGTGGGGAAGTATCTATTCTGAGGAATAGTATTGGATTACCCCCTTTCACTGAGGCTGCATCTTTAGCATTTTGAAGACAGTTTGACTCTGACAATGGCAAGAGAGGTTATTTTTATTTGGCGATCCATTCCTGCTTGTGCATATAACTTAGTATATGTGGGAAAAGAATCATCTGGAGATTCACATCCCCTTGGGAAAAGAATTACATGTACTCCTCAACTTACAACTATTTGTTTAACAATTCTTTGAAGTAACAGTGGCACTGAAAAAAGTGGCCTACAGCTGGTCCTTGCAACCATTGCAGCATTCCCACAGTCATTATCTGGGTGCTTGTCAGACAGTATAGCCTTAGCAATAGCATTTAGACTTATATACTGCTTCACAGTGCTTTACAGCCCTCCCTAAGATGTTTACAGAGTCGGCATATTGTCTCCAACAATCTGGGTCCTCATTTTACCCACCTCAGAAGGATGGAAGGCTGAGTCAATCTTGAGCCCTGGTGACATTCGAACTGCTAAATTTCAGGCAGACAGCAGTCAGCAGAAATAGCCTGCAGTACTGCATTCTAACCACTGCGCCACTGCAGCTCTAGTATATGTTTACAGTAGTTGCAGTGTTCCAGGATTATGTGATTGCCATTTGCAACCTTCCCAGCTAGTGGCTGATAAGCAGAGTCAATGAGAGAAGCTGGATTAACAACCATGAGCAAAATCAGGCATGACTCAACAATTGCCTTGCTTAGCAATGGAAATTCTTGACCCAATTGTGATTGTAAGTTGAGGGCTATCTGTAAACTCTCTCAGTGATATCCACATGAGGAATAAAGAAGGTCTTTACAAAGGTCACAGTCCTTTTCTGGGTGTGACACAATATTGCATGATATGGCTCACACTTGGTCACTCTGACAAAAGCAGCAGCATCCTATGGACACTCCTGCTGTCCCCATTTCAATGGTGCCAGTGCTCTTAACTGGTCTCACTGGTTATTATTTGACATCCTCTGACACATGTGCAGAGGTTGCATAATTGTGGGCATTTGGGGGTGGGGCGGGGGGCAGTTGAGTTGTGCTAATAGTTCTGCTTCTTAGAAACTTTCATATTATTTCTCCTTCTCCCAGAAACTTGGTGAATCTTCACACTGTATCTGAGAAAACCTGTTTCTGAATGCTCCCTTTCTTGAAAATAAAATAATAGTATTTTTTTTTAAAAAAAAGGATAAAATGCCCAGACCAAGAATAAATTAAGGGGGGAGGGAAGAAGTATGAGGCCAGGCTAGAATCTTCCATAGTCAGGGTTATTAAAAAAATAATAATTGCAAGGAGGTGAATTTGTGCATTTTTAAAAGGCTATGCCATAGGAAATGTTGATGCATATGATCTTCTAAGCAGCCTTTCCCATAAAATTAGCAGCTCAGAGACCAAAAATGATGTAAATGCATGGTTGATTATTTTTGCTTTCCTCTCACAAATAAATGAAGCACTTTGCAATAATCTATTACTGCAAAGCATATAACATATTTTCTTCAACAGAAAAGCTCAAGATGACTAAAAATAGTAAGATGCAAATAGCAATATAAAGTAGGGCAATAGATGAACCCCCACCCCACCCCACCCCAGTCCAACTCTCTCCTGCACTATGGCTGACCAGCTGCTGCTGTTTGGAGTCTCCCTAGAGTCTGGGAACAGATGGCCTTAAAAGGCCAATGAAAATGACTTTCTGTTCTGTTATTCTGCTTTTGCTGAATGGTAGACTGGGTAGTGGCTTAGAGAGTCCAACAAGGGAGGCAGTGATTAAAGTAAAACCACTGATATACTTTTTATAGTAACAACTAAAATTTATTGCTAACGGTTTAAAAAGAATCAGATTGAAAGACTTTCAAATATGGAAAATTTACCTTTTCATACAAATTAAGAAAAGCTGCAGATTTTACTTAAAAGGGAATTCTAAAAGATGATGAATTGCAAGGTTATGGGCTGATGGAAACATCAGTAAATGAATGTCAATTTAGAGGATTTTTTTTTTTAAACTGCTGTAATAGCACAGCATGGCTGATGGATGAAGAGGCATACTTTAGGGATTTGGGCAACATGGTGCTTAAAGGATAATAATTCTGATGATGTCAAAATCTACCCTAATCAAATTAAAATAATTCACGAATGAAGGCAAATATACATGTCCCAGGATAGTGTTGCAGGATCCAATCTTGGTCGGTCATTGGGACCAGAGGTTTTGTCTTCTGTGCTTTTGGACTCATGTTGGAGTTTATCCTCAGGGAACTTCTCTGTCACAGGAATTATTTTGGAGAATTCTAAAATAATTCATTTTACAATTTATTTTTACTGATTGGAAGTGTATGGAATTCTGATGATTTCTTTTAGGAATAGCAATAGCATTTAGACATATATACCACTTCACAGTGCTTTACAACCCTCTCTAAGCCGTTTAGAGTCAGCATATTTTCCCCAACAATCTGGGTCCTTATTTTACCAACCTTGGAAGGAGGAAGGCTGAGTCAACCTTGAGCTAGTGAGATTCAAACTGCCAAACCTCTGGCAGCCAGCAGAAGTAGCTTGCAGTACTGTATTCTAACCACTGCGCCACCACAGCTCATATTCTGGCAAAATTTTGCTTGAGAACACCAAGTTTTCCAATTATGGTGTGGTGTAGGGGAAGTTGAAATTTGAAGAGGAAAAAAACATGAAACTTTGACTTTGGGTTTTGCTTATTAGATAGATTTATTGTTATAGAAATGGATACTATTATATAAAAGTAAGAAGTTGAGATTGTAGGTTTTTATTTTATTCTACTGCACTAAAAAGAATTGGAAGTCTACATCTTTTTTTCTTTGTCCCCTTTTATCCTACACTTTTTCCTTTTTCCTTTTCCCTCCCCTACTTTCTGACTATTTTCATTTTTCTTCGTATTTTATATTTTGATAAATTAATAAAAATTTGGAATTGTACATCCAGGCCATGCCATGAAATCAGTGACATTCATTACCGAAAACGTACAGATCCATATGGTTTATGCCTCAGAAGGCAAAATTGTTTGGAAAAATGAATTCAATATTGCACGTCATCCCAAATTCACATTAGATCATCTGCTTCATTGTGCCTCAGTGAAACATTTGGACATAGTTCTATGACTATTTTGTGTAGACATACTATAAGAAGAATTTAATTTGATAGTTCCAATGACTTGATCACTATCATAGCTTAGCCGTTAGGTGGTTGTTTTTTTTCCTGCCAGAAAATGTGCAGCAGAAAGGGTTTATAAAATGAAGCCTTGCATCCAGAAGTAAAATAATCTCAAGGGTTGTCCCCTGGCTATAGAGACTTGATTGAGTGCAAAAGGATAAACATTATCTATAGACAGTTGTCCGTTCATGGAAAGTTTTCTGGTCACCACCACTTCTAAGTGACATGCTATCAATTTCATACTGTTAACCTTTAGCATACTTCATTGCACATCACCCAAACAGTGCTTAAGAACCAAAGCAACTGCTTCTGGATCTGATGTTACTTGGGGGGAAAAGGCAAGAAAGCTAATTGTTAGCAATTATATCAATATCACCATACTCCTAAGTTATTATATACTTGGATAATGCTCTTTTCTAGAGAACAATTAGGACACTCCCTATTTCATTAGATTAGAGGGCTAATAAACTGCCATAGGATCAGGCTTTTACTTGGAATGTTGGTTTCCCACCATAAGTAATCTCTGAATATTTAAAAGGACCACGTTGTTTTAAGTTCTTCATTCCCAAAGTTAGGAATCCCTTTTATTGTCTACATGTGGATTTTGAGCATGACATAATGATAACTAAAGTATATTGCAGTCATTGAGCAACAATTAGTTGCTCTTAAAATCAAGTGTTTTAAAAAAGAAGCCTCTGTTTTTATTTCCTTATCTACATATCAGTAAATTAAGAATATTCAGTATTAGGAGGGCAGAGTAATTGCTTTACTTGCTGTAAACTTGTCTAAATTGTATGTTCTTGTCTAGTATGCTCTTAAGTTCCCTTAAATATAATATAATATAATATAATATAATATAATATAATATAATATAATATAATATAATATAATATAATATAATATAATAATACAATACAATACAATACAATACAATACAATACAATACAATACAATACAATACAATACAATACAATACAATACAATATAAATGTTTAAGGGGACGTTTTATATATATAAAGTCCCCTTAATCATATATTGACAATTGATGATGGAAACTATTTACATTCATGGTACTGGTCCTCTGGAATATTATCCCTGAGAGGTTCAAATTGCTCTGATTTTGCTGTCCTTGAAGGTCTGGCTTTTTCCTAGGTTGCTTAATGTATTTTGTATGATAATCGTTTGGTTGCCACCTCTTTGTTTGCATTGCATTGGATTGCTTTTATCTTGGATACCATCCAGAGTCACAATGAATTGGATGAATTAATTAGATAAATGATAGATGATAGTCCAGGTGATGATTAGAGATTTAATGACATTTCTTTTCAAATAAGATCAGCTAATTTGAAAAAATCCAAAGAAATAATGACTCTCAGGACCATTTTCTTGGAGTAGAGATGATCCATCGATTATGTGATGTCTTAATCAAGGATATTGCTAGTCAATCCCATGCGTGTTTTGAGGAAGAAGTGATATGAAACAATGCTTTTCAGTGCCCCTTGTGTACATAATCAGAAATTTGGAGGGCACCTTCCTTGACAGAATTCAGAAGGGTCTTTGGAACTTGCAAAATGATGTTGTAAGAAAATATGCAAGTGGTGGAGAATGTGTTCCAATATTACAAAGCACATTTGATCATTTGTCTCTCCTTATGGTTGCCTATGGCTGTTGAGAGAGAGATCACATCAACATAGCTTAATTAAAAATAAAAGTGAATGCTGAGTTGCAAGCCACTGTCGCCTCAAAAAAATTGCCTAAAATTTTTCAGGTCCCCTGCGAGTGGCTGCCAATGAAATAGGGTGGAGTAGAATGGAGTGAAGGTATGGAAGTGCTGAATGCAATGTCACATCACAATGTCACATGTTTCTTTTCTAGATATTTGACCACTCAAATGAAAGATGCCAGTCTGTGACAGGCTTGTATTGGCTGTACCACTTTAAAATAACCTTTTAAAAGCACTTTAAAAGGGCACATTCATAATGGATGCATTTTGTTTTTGTTCTCCTGACTGCTACATTAAAGCAGAACCATGGCTTCTTTTGTTTTGCTCAATTCTTAATGTTAGCAAACTTTTAGATCTTAGCGGGTTTATTTTTATTTCCTGTTTCATTTTTAAGTGTGCTTTCATTATCTTAGTATGCATGCCATACTCAGTTGTTCATGCAACTGAGTTCTGCTAGTATTATGGTTTGTGACTATAATACAAAGAGACCAACTTTTATAGCCAACAGATACAAGAAATATATTGGTAAGTGGCTTGATTACTGGTGATGTCCTTAATTGCAATAGTGATTACATGTAGTATGAATATTTATTAGTGCAAGTAGAAGAGACATGAACTTAGTAAATGTTTTTAGACTAAAAGTAGATTTTGTGTTCATTTCATGTTTTTAGTAGACTTTTGCTATGTGTGATTAACATGACATTCTCCAAGCACTAAGGACTACTTTTCTTTCTTATTAAAATATTATTTGAAAAAAAATATAAACCTAAGCCACTTTTTGCACCTTTATTTTTTAAAATTGTTTTATTAAAAGTTTAAATTACAATAATAGACAATAATACAAACTAAAAAAAGAAAGGAGAAAAATAGAAATAGAGTAAAAAATATAAGAAAATGAATGAGAAAGAAAACCAGGAAGGAAAAAACCCTAAGAAAGACTTTCCACCTCATCACAACTATAAAGTTTCCCTGTCTTTTATCTCTTCTTAATTAACAAATACAAAAGTCTTCATCCCATAACTCAACTGTTTATCTATAAGCAAATTCAATAAATAATGCCTTTTCCAATCCAGGTTTCAACAAAAAGTTCAAATAGATCCCTAAAATAATATTAATTAATAAATGTAAAATAATTCCCTATCTCAACATTCAATTGCAAGAAAACCATATTTAGAAGACACTATCCTACTACTGGTAGTCCTCAACTACCACAAGCCCAAAATTTATATTATTAAGTGAGACATTGGTTAAGTGAGTTTTTCCCCATTTTATGACCTTTGTTGCCACAGTTGTTAAGTGAATCACTGCAGATTGTAAATTAGTAACCTAGTTGTTAAGTGAATCTGGCTTCTTCATTGACTTCGCTTGTCAGAAGGTCTCAAGAAGTGATCACATGATCTTTGGACACTGCATATGAATTTTGATCACACGATCATGGGGATGCTGCAAAGGTTGTACCTGAAAAATGGTCATGTCACATTGTTCAGTGCTGTAACTTTGAAAGTCACTAAATGAACTGTTATAAGTCGATAACTACCTGTATAAACAGAACACTTTTTGCTCCTTTCTATGAAAAAGCATGAATTAAACATCTTTTGCAGTATAAAATGTCACAACTCTTAGTTTTTTTGAAAGATTAATAAATTATTTGAAACATAAATATTTATGGACTTGAATAGGATTTATGCAGCAGGTCCTCTTGATTAACTGTATCCTTACTGAATTGTGCAGTAATTCTATTAATAGATTAAGATGCTTTAGAGACATGGTATAGTTGTGGTTACATATTCCACAAAAGGCTGTACTAAACTTTGCTTCTTTTTGAAGGCTCTCGGTAGTTTATAGAGACTAAGACGTTGGAACAGGGATAGCTAGATAAAATTTCCCCTTCGTCATGGAAGTTATTTGGGTGACTTCATACCAAAGACTCAGTCCCATATATCTCACCAATTGTGTGGTGGAAAATTGGAGGGAACGGTATATGTATATATGGTACCTTGGGTTCCTGAGAAAAGGCAAGAGATAAATTGTAATAATTCATAAAATAATAAATTTAAATTTATAAATAATAAATTTAATAATATGTAGCTTATTTACCAGTCTGTATATCTCTCCCTCCCTCCCTCTGAGAGAGAGAGACAGAGTCAGAGACAGAGACAGAGAGAGAATGAGAGAGGACAATATATACACAACCATGTCATCCTTTCTCATAATCCAGTGTGCAAGTGAGAGAAACAAAAGAAAAATATTTTTGAAAATGTGATGCCATTCAACACACTTAGTGCCTTAACTATTTCCTTCTCACTGGAATTCTATTAGGGAAATATCTACCAACTATGCCAGGCCATTAACAGGCAATCTGGGCCATAAAAAAATATTTTTTCTATTACTATATGCCTATGTTTAGATCCTGAAAATCAACAAAGCATTCCCTAATTCTTTTCTGTGTATCCTCATGATTGGAATATTGTCTGCTTATCAAGTTGGGCAGTACTTGAGAAAATGTCCATCAAACCCTTGAGGAAATGACAGTGCTATGGAAAGTGAAATGCTTATCTTCTTTTTATAGATCAAAAGAACTGAAAGGAATAGAAAGCATCTTGTAACTTGCAATCAGTAGTATTGTGGCTGCTGATTATGATACTGTGGGATGTGATCTTTCAGTGACTTTCTATTCCGCTCAGATCATTCTAGTAGAAATGTATGTTGCTGTTCTCTGAGCTTCTGTCTTACTGTTCTATAAAACAATAACTATTGGCACAATATTAATCTGCATAGTTAAATTATTAGTGATTTATAAGAAAACGTATGAGAATTTTCTTTTTCATTCTCTGCAGAAACAGTAATATTTACCAATACTCTCCTTGTCGTAGAAGTGATAATTTCCCTGCATCATGCTCTGGTACATCTAAGCTGAAGTAATGATGATCATGAGGAAATGTAGAGGAAGAATAATTGCCTGGAACCATTCCTACTGTTTCAGCTTGCAACCAAAAACCTGAAAACCAAAATTAAAAGACATACCTTGACTTCAGAACAAAGAAAAAAAAAGTTGGAGAAATTTCTATTTCTGTTGGAAAAATCAAAATTATTCATCATAACTTTGTAATACAGAATATCACTTTAATAGAGAAAAACCTAAACTAAATCCTTGGGGATTCTGGTAGTTTTAGGAAGGAATATTTACTGAAATTGCTGCTAGTTGATGTTAGCAATGCTAGCCTAGATAGTCTGAATCAGAATGTAAGTTCTTACATTTTCAAGAATATAACAAGAAATTATATTCTTTTAAGAGAGAGAAGAACACTTTTGAATTGGTATTTTGTAGATCAGTTTAATTTCGCACATTAAATTCATCAGGTACTAGAAAATGTTTTGAAGGATGCTTTACTATGTAATTACATGCAATTGCAACAAACAAATCAATTAAGCCCCATGGGATTTACTGTGTATACCCAAGGTTATATACTGGATTGCTGACTGAATTGCCTCATTTATATCTTCTTCTAAAGTTTAGAACTTCAGATTATTCCCTTTTAAATAATGTTCTGGTAATTTTACACTATGCAGAGGTTAAGTCCTTCTAGTGGCAGCAGTAAGTGAATGTAATTTGTTTCCTTCCTTTAATGAAGTTTCGAAATGTAAATTTTCACTTCCATAGTTTTAGTGTCTACAGTGACCTCTCCATGGTTCAGAAAGGAGATTGATGCAAATGGGGGAATAGGTTCCAGATAATGGAATTTACTTTGTTCCTGACCTCAGGGCAGATGGATAGGGAACAGAGCTGGGAACGGTTATCATAAGCCTGTTATCCGTCAATTAAAGTCAATGTCAATTACAAGACCATTAATTGAAAAAAATATGTGTTAGAGTGAAAACAACACTCCATGACCCCTTACACAAACTAGTTATATTCCATGACTCCTTACACAAACTAATTGCTGCAGATTCCAAAACTGACTTTTCAAAGGCTAGTTCCAGTTTTGAAACTCGGTCACAATGCTTGTAGAGATAGCAACTCCCAGTATCTCAGTTTGCTGTTTTAGAACATTTTACATATTTGTTCACAACAAATCATTGGATTATCATTGTTTACTGATAGTAAGATTATTATTATTGCAAAGATAACAATTCTGTACTACTCTGAATTGCTTCAGCACTTTATAAACTTTATAAAATATTGATATTTATGTCCGACAATATTATTTCTGATTTTAGGTCATACTATCCCACAATATGGTTTTTATGTGGAAAAAAAATAGATTGGATTTTAGAATACTAAATTTAATAACTAAATATTACCAAACACATTCAACTGTCTTAGCAATAGTGTATCTTTACCAGAATTTTAATTCATGCAGATAGCTAAAATGAGACTTCTGTAAATTTGCAAGCAGTGCATTTATCATAATTCTTGTGGCAGAGATGTAAAATTTCTAAAAGTTTACTACAAGTTAGGAAAAATAAGTTTAAGGACAAACGATAACAATATGTACAATACAATATGAATAGCTTGTCTTGTCATAATTGTTCTAAAATATTTTTTGAGGTTTTTTTAAATTCTTTCTAAAATGTTTTTTTTAAAAATATTTTCGATTATTGTAAGAAACAAGACCTTGGGTAAACAAAGGAAAAAATCCAAAAAGAGAAAAAAAGACTTTTTTCAAGTCTTCAAATGTCTATATAGATCGAAAATTGTAAAGCAGAAAATCTGTCTATTTTTGCTTGTGTATCAATAAGTATCCTCCTTTCAGAAATTTGGAATTAGATATCGGTTTTCTTTTTTTATCCTGTTGTAATCTTCTAGTCGAGAGAATTCTTTTGCTCCTTTGGATTGAACTGGAAATGAAATAATTTTCACAAAACACAGAAGAATCTATTCATTTCTTGAATAGATTTCTTGAAATCTAAAGTGCCATCTCACTTTAAAGTAACCTAGTAACCTTGTCATTTAATAGCAAAATGCATTTAATTATAATTACATAGTGTGCTCTTTCTATTTACATTTTTTTTTCACACAATCTCTATCCAGATTAACACCACCACATGCTCACTGTTCAGAATTAAAATCTTTTCTGATTCAGATTTTTTTCTCAACTTTCCTTCAGCTTCCATAAACTTCCATCTGTCAAAATATGATAGAAATTGTGGAAGAAAGAAAAGATTTTCCCCGTATATAAAAACCAAAGATGATATGAAGTAGTACAATAGATAGGTCTGGATACAAAATTGTAATGAATTATGAGTTCTTGCTAGCACTAATGATTTTTTTTTGGGGGGGGGGTATTTTAGGAATCATTTTTTGAAATCATCCTTTTCCCTAATTTTGGGCATATTGATACAATTGCTTGAATTTATATTTTAAATCAGGGGTCCCCAACCCCGTCCATGGCATGCCAGCAACCAAGCCGTGCAAACAAGCAAAGCTACATCTGTGGGATGCAGGCTGCACGCAAAGCCACGCCTTCTCCGGTCCACGGAAAAACCTTTCTCCACGGAACGGGTCTCTGGTGCTCAAAAGGTTGAGGGCTGCTGTTTTAAATCTTACAGCCTTACAACTGGAAGTGGCTATATAAAACCCTTGTTTTAGTAGATGTTCAAGACCCCCCCAATTGGCAGCTTGGATGGCACTATCCCATATAGTGATATTTTACACTTCTTTCTTGCAAAGCAAGACATGGCAGATGTGACTCAGTGTGAATCAGTGTGAATCAGTGATGTAGGTAATCTATAGTATGAAGCTTTGGTAGTCTGTTGACCATAAGGTAAGTGAATTCCACAATTTATTTCTGGAGTTAAAGAAAAAGGGTGTAGATACTATCAGAACAGAAGCTAAGACAAGACAACCCCCCCCCCTTTTTTTAGTACAGTAGTCTCATGACTAGTTTTTTTTTCCTTGTTTATTTATAATGGTACCATAATCTCTTAGTAGTACAAGGTAGGATTAAAGTATAGAACTCTAGCTGAAAATATTTATCCTCTTTCTCATCTGCTATAGATATGGTGATACCATATGTAGTCCTATATAAAAGAATTGAAGGGTGGGTTTTTTTTTTAATATTTTGAAATAATTCACATAACACAAGTACAGTTTATATTATATTATAACATATTTATTGTATTGAATGTGATTTCTTTTTTGGAAAACACAGCAACTAGAAAGCTCCTACTTCTCTCTAAGCATGCTGCCATTCTCATTTTGTATTACAAAAGCTCCATTAAAACCCAAAACAAAGAAATAAATAATTTTGATTTAAAGCTCAGAGCTCATGTGATGATCCATACATGTGGAAAATTAAAATATTGTATTTCATGTAATAACAAGTAGGAAAATTATTAAAATGAGAAAGTGGAACAATAGAAGATCAAAATATTATTTCAGTTCCCAATTTATAAGCTGCATTTTAATATAGAGGTAACTTTAATATCTGAGAATCATGAGTATTAATCTTGACCGTTTGGGACTGGTCACTATGTTAGATAAAAAAATTATACTGTAGTATGGATCCAAGCCACTGCTAAACAGTTAAGTGTAGTGCCAAGGGGAAATGGGGAGCTGTGTTTGCTACCTGATATAGGTAATGTAGTATACATAATTATAAAAACTGCATGACAGACATAGAATCAGAAATTTTCTTTGTGACAGAATGGGGAATGACTATATAAAACAATGTCGTAGACTCTGACAGACATGCATATCTAAATATATAAAAAATTAAATGTATTTTTTTTTCAGAACAATTGCTTTATCTATAGGTGAGCAACTCGATATAAATAAGCTGATTGAGCACTTAGAGTTAACTAAATAACTTCCTATAGTTGAACAACTTCCTATAGTTGAAGAATATACTTTTTAGAAAAGATGTCCCAGGCATTTGCCAGATGTTGTTTTCTGATATGAATTTTATATTTACAACAGTGGGCAAAACAATAAACTCTATAAATTTCTGCACAAAATACTTTAAAGAAAAATGTAGATAAGAACCAACCAAGTCTAAGCTCCCATATTGGGTATGTTTTAGATTAGCAACTCTTTATGGTAGCACTCACCATTTTATGATTTCACTCAATGCAAAGCTACCAAATAAATAAATAGAACCAACTTTTTTTGTTTAAAAATGTAATCAAAATGAGAGCACATATGAGTAAATGGAAGTCATGCAAATTTTCCTTTATCTCATATGATTTGGTCCATTTCAAGACTTTTTTTTAATTTGATGCATTTGAGTATCATTGATATTACTATGAATACCACAATCCAGGGGTGAAATGCTCCCAGTTCGGACCAGATCGCTTGATCCGGTAGCGATGGAGGCGGGAGGTTCGGAGAACCGGTAGCAAAAATCCCTTCCCCCCCCCATGCCCAGCTGAGCTGCACAATCATCAGAGGCTTTCTTTTTTACTTTTAAAAGCATTTTTTCTACAACCTCTGGCCGAAAAAATGCTTTTAAAAGTAAAAAAAAACCTCTGATGATCGCGCGGCTCAGCTGGGATCATCAAAAGCTTTTAAAAGAAAAAAAACCTCTGCCGATTAGGCAACTCAGCTTGGATTGTCAGAGGCATTTAAAAGAAAAAAAGCCTCTGCTGATCAGGCAACTCGGCTTGGATTGTCAGAGGCATTTAAAAGAAAAAAAGCCTCTGCTGATCAGGCAACTCAGCTTGGATCGTCAGAGGCATTTAAAAGAAAAAAAGCCTCTGCTGATCAGGCAACTCAGCTTGGATCGTCAGAGGCATTTAAAAGAAAAAAAACCTTTTTTTCTTTTAAATGCCTCTGATGATCCAAGCTGAGTTGCCTGATTGGAAGAGGCTTTTTTTCTTTTAAAACCCTCTGACGATCCAAGCTGAGTTGCCTGATCGTCAGGCATTTAAAAGAAAAAAAGCCTCTGCCGATCAGGCAACTCAGCTGGGATTGTCAGAGCCTTTTGAAAGCATTTTTTTACAACCTCTTCGCCAAAAAAATGGTTTTAAAAGTAAAAAAAAAAAATTGGCCACGCCTACCCAGTCACATTAACCACACCACCAAGCCACGCCCACAGA